ACTCTGACAGTGTCGTCACTTTTAAGCTATCTTAGCCTTTATCAGCCAGTGGTGGGACAGACCCTAATAAATTTTAAATGTATATTCCAGAATAAACAAATTGGATTTTGGTACTCTGACAGTGTCGTCACTTTTAAGCTATCTTAGCCTTTATCAGCCAGTGGTGGGACAGACCCTAATAAATTTTAAATGTATATTCCAGGGTAAACAAGAGGAGCTATCAGAGATGCAGATCCGACGCGAGCTGGGCGAGCGCAAGCTGTCTGCGGCGGCGAGCGCGGCCGAGCTGCGCGCGGAGCAGCTGCAGCGCAAGCTGGATGATGCTCACAACCAGCTTAAGAGGTCAGAATACACTATGACAGTTATTTTATATACTAACTAGCTGTTCCCATGCGATTTCATCAGCATAAAATTATTTTATCGTTTGCATGTGTCAAATTGTCAATAGCAAATGTCAAAATGACATGACATGACAAAACTTCGCAATCTTGCTTCCTTGATGTTGGCAGCAACTTATAGTCTCTTTTCCACATTAGGGTTTTTATCCAAAATATTCACCCCCTGAATTTAATGGCGTGAAAATATATAGTCTAAAGCGTGATGTCAGTGTAGGGCTTTTTATTAAAAAAAAACAGTTATTCAGAATATGCTGTAATTGCTGACATCTTAGGCAACAAAGAAGTATGTGTTTACGCTTTATTATAATAGTATAGATATGTTAGATATTTCCACAAATGACTTCCTTTAAAATTTAGACGGACGGCCATATTAACAATACTTGTAAATTACTTTAAAACACAAACTGACCTCCAATGCGACAACGCAAATATATCGAACGTTCCGTTGTGACGACTGGTAAAACACTGAGCTTGTTGGTGACTGCGCGCCGAGACTGCGACTGAGCGCCTATATTTTCACACCATTTAACTTAGGGGGTAAATATTTTGGATAAAAACCCTAATGTGGGAAAGAGACCATAAGTCGCTGCCGACATCAAGGAAGCAAGGTTGCCATGGTTTGACATCATGTCAATGTGAACAATAAAACGAATTTTTTATAATTTTATACGGATGAAGTCGCATGGGAACAGCTAGTTAATAATAAAAGTGGCAAAACGAGCTGCGGGAACACAGGGTTGGTCAAGGTATGGACATCCTCAACACCAGAGGAACTACAGTTGTCGGCTTTTGAGGAAATAGTGGCTTCTTAAAGAACCCTAAGTTACAGTTTCCATGGTATTTGATAGCTAAGTACAATCGGGGAATTTGTTGGTGTTCCACCTTGAATATTTTCACCGGTACTTTCTCTGAAAGGTACTATATCAGTTGTCAAGTTTAGTGCCACCTCATATTGACATGTAATAAAACATTTAACAATACTATAATAAGTTCCATCTATTGTTGAACAAAACTTTTAAATAAAATGTATATATTTATCGTACATACACCAGCCAGCAGCCACACATAGAAATTATATGTTTGTTAATATCAATGTCATTATAGCATACTAGCTTTCTCCCGCTAAAGCAACTAGCCTAATGTTCCAGACTATCCTCTACATCTATGACTTTTATCAAGATCCGTTCAGCAGTTTGACAAACTCTAATAAACATTCATCTAAACTTTCGCATTCAGAATATAAGTCTATACTAATATTATGAAGAGTTTCCTATTTATTTGTATTTTTGTATATATTGAGATAACTCATACAACTGGGCCGATTTCAATAATTATTTCACCAATAAACAGCTACGTCACAGTAAAATAGGCTACATTTTTTATTTCCTCGCGGAAGTCGGGAGCAACATTTATTATAAAAGCGTAACGTATTTTATTAAATTTATTTATTTATACACAGGAAGGAGAAAGAATTCGAAGAGACAATGGACCATTTGCAACAAGATATCGAATCATTGGAGACAGAAAGAGGTGCTTTACGAGACAAACTGAAGTTGTACGCGAAACGAGGCGGCACTCACCATGGTATGTATATGTACAATCAGGGAAACTGTCGGTGTGCCATTTTAGGAATTGCCTTTATTTTTGCAACGAGACAAACCCCACCTCTTATAAATAACTAATTACATGTAGCTAGCGACTCCGTATGCATAGACTCATACTAATATAAATGTGAAAGTTTATATGGATGTTTGTTAGAGTTTGTAGCCTAAACAGCTGAACGGATCTCGATGATTTGGCATAGATGTAAAGTATAGTCTGGAACAACACATAGGCTTCACTTTTGTTTTTTCAATTCTATATGGACGGAGTCGCTAGCGAATGCTAGTTAAAAATAAAATAAAAAAAATTAGCCTATGTTACTGACAGATGAATTACCTTTCTAACAGTGAAAGAATTTTTAAATTTGGCCCAGTAGTTTTTTAGGAATTTCAATATATACAAAAAAACAAATCTTTCCTCTTTATAATATTAGTAAAAATCAGATAGCAGTGAATGCAAACGGAGAAATTAATATAAAGAAACAAGCCGTGGATAAACCGACATTTTTTTCATATAGACACATTTAGATGCGTTGTATATCTTTGTTCAACGTCTTTTGAAATGTTCAAACGATTGTAGCTTTTAAAGTGGCACACCGACAAATTTCCTAATAGTACGTCATAGTACAATTTTTTTTCTTATGTACCAAAGTCATAGATAGTGTAATATTTGGTTAAATAAGGTTAGTTTATGTTTATTTTACTATGTATATTGTATTTATTTACGTATAGTAAATGTTTTATTGTTTGTTTTTGTTGAATTTTATTATTTATTTTGTTTATATTAAGATGCTGTTTTACAAGTGGAAGGAGTTGGTATTGGCACGTAAGGCAAAAGACAACTCTTGTTCATGACGTGCCAATTTAAATATCCAAATGTTACTTAAGAGTTTTCTGTTTATTCGTTTTTGTAATAGAAGAATAATAATCTATGATATTTAATAGTAAGTAAAATGTGTAATAAATTAATGTAATTGTATGGAAATAGCTGCGGTGACCCCACCGGCCTCACTGCGGGAGTTCGCACGTAAGATACACATTATAGAGTACAATAGCATGCCTCCACTTTCATCATTTTTGCCATTCTCAACAACTTCCAATTCTCACCAGTTCATCCATTCTCAACACCTTCTAATTCTCATCACTTCCTCCATTCTCAACAACTTCCAATTCTCAT